TTAGGTTCGGGTATTTCAGTTTCAAGTCATTTCAAGTTTAAGGTATTGACTTTTTTAAAATCAAATTAAATTAAATTGAATTTTTATAAATTATTCGAAATTAGGGTATTTTGAATTAATTTTTGAGATTAAATCATTTCAAATTCTGATTATTTCAACTATGAATCATTTTAGATTCAGTTTATTTTCAGGTTTGAATTTAGTGAATTCACAATGTTTATTTTTTTCGTCAAATCAGATTTAGACACGAGATTTTAAGATTCATGTCAATTTTGTCAAGTCTAATTTTCAGAACTAGAATATAACATGACAGTATTAATAAAAAAGATAAAGTGGCTAATCCCTAAATTATATGACCGTAAACATAAATACTCAAAAAATTTCAAAAAAATTTGTTAAATTAACAGCATTTAAGTCAAAGTTGTCATGTTCTAGTTTTTAACTTCAAAAAAAATAGCATTATCTAGTTCCAGTCAAAAAGTATCAAAGGATCTGCTTAGTTTTGGAATTTGCATAGTTGCATGTAGAAAAAGCAAAGGAAAATTTTCAGATGACAAATTGCTTGATAATGATAGTAGGAAAAAAAAAAAACAGGGACTTGTTATGCAATGAATGCTAAGTGATTCACTGTACCGCTTGGGAGTTTGCTTTCATAATCATCATGTCTTTCAAAAATAAGATCTTAAACATGTGGATTTGTATAATGTAAAGCCGAGTCATAAAGGAAATGTGCATAAATTCCTTTATAGTTTCTCCTCAATAATTTTCTCTGGTTCAAAGAGACCCATACTTATCAAACTGTTCTCTTACTCAATGAATAAATTATAAGTTGAGAATCATTCTCCATGCACTATATCTTTCTCATGCTTTTATGAATGAGATTGCTTGATTCTTACTTGGGATATAGACTAGAGCAAAGGAAAAAGTTGTCATTATTACTGGCTAATTTGTCTAAAGTGGAATAGGAAGTAGATGCTGTAATCAAAATTATGCCAAGGAATTTACTGTAAAAAGTAAGAAAATTAAGTCACTTTTAAATTTTCTTGAGAATTTTACACTAAAACATGTTCACTTTAGATTTGAATGGACAATTGGGATGATAATAACCACAGGAGTACAACAGGCAAAAGGGTTTGTTATAGAATTTAGTATCCTTCAAAAAGTGGAAAGGAAATTTCAGAGAAATCTTGAAAGGGGAGATTGAAAAGAAAGATATAATGGAATCATATTTTTTGTGTATCTAGACGGCATTATTTTACCACAACAGTGGTGTTGAACAGGAATATGCTTAAATCTTTTTATTATTATCTCTTAATAACATCTGACATTGTAATTTATGACATTTAGAATTGGACCACCTACCCTATGCACTATTATAACTAAAACAATAAAAAGTGAATTGAACAAGCTGTGGGAGATGCCCTGTTGAGGTCATTTGGTTTAATTCTGGGATGGTTCTGGATAAAGGGCTTTTGTAGTTGTTAATTTTTCTTGTAAAGTTTCCACAGCAAACCTCCTGGTATAAATATTGCTGTGTCCCTTTATGATCAACTATCACTGGACCAGGATAAAATTGACTGACTGCCATACACCAGAATTGATCAAATATATTGAGTGGGATGAAATATATCTGTCTGATAATTTTAGGTCCCCATATCTTGAGAATCTTCCAGTCATATCTAGTACAATCATTCAGACATTCACCACAAAATAGGGTTCTGAAGGACAGGAAGCATGATGTCTCAATGGTTTTTTCCAAATTTACCTTCCCCTCTACCTAATGTCCACAAGCACAAATAGTTAAGGGGTGTATTACATATTTAATACTTTTATTATATTATTTGAGAGCTAAGGATGTACTTAAGAAAAAGAATTAAGGGCTGGGAAGGTGGATTGCATTTAGCATTCTTAATTTCTTTAACTGTGTTTGGGTTGAGGAGAATTGAAGGAAAGACAACACCACTCCCCTTCCTTATATGAAAATCAATGAAGATTGGTAATGTGCCACCCACCCTTCCCTTCCCTTTCCCTCCTCTTTTTCTTAAGCTATCTAAACAAGGGAAACTGTATCCTCTCCTTCCCTCTATTCTCCTCTCTTTCCCTTCCCCTTTTGGTTCCCAAACATGGGTAAGGTAACCATAGAGAAAAATTGAGTAATTACCTTGTGAATTAAGCTTGTAAATTAGCCATGTTTACATGAATCACTATAACTCTTCCCCTTTTCATTTTGGTTTTTGTTTTTCTAAAAAAAAAAAAAAAGAGACAAGGAAATGAGTCACATGAATTCAAATGTAGAGCTTTATTTCTTTGCATAAAATAATTTAGACAAAGAAAAGAAGACGGCACCCCTTGCATTGGCTAAATTTGTGCCATGAAATAGATTACATGGACCAAAATTCAAAGGGCAATTGTACTTCATATCTCTCAGTTAAGGGTGTGTCAACTATTCATTCCTTGTTTAGAAATGTGGTATTCATTCACATCCACCTCCTTTTAATCAGTGCAACAAATTTCTTTTGCTTCTTGGACCATCTGTTGTCACACTCCTGGTATATCCCAACTGTGCCAAAAGAGTCAATCACTATATATAAGGTTAATCTTCCTAGAATAGGATTGCTTTGGTACTCTTGGAAACTCTTGCATCATCATGTTTCAAATTTAAGGGGGCAATATTTATTCCTGGAAAAAGAAGTAGACAAATCAGCTAGAATTTAAATTGAAGGGGAAGGTTCCAGGCTCTACACTATCCTACACCTGTCCCTTATGCTACATAATCAAGCACCTTTCATTTACACAGAATATATAATATTATATAGTTAATTAAGTGTACAAAAGAGAAAAAGTTATGAATGTGATGATAGTGATTATCACACTCATATGACATGAAACTTTCAATTTCCTCCAAACAATTGGTGAAAACCAAAAGCATAATTATCTATTGCATAAATTTGCTAAGAGAGAACATAGAGGAAGCAAGCAAAAGCATGGAAGACCTTTTAATATCCGGTGCTTAGGTTGTTACGCAATCAATAAAGCTAATCATCCCCTCATCAATTTACACACCTTATTATTATATATCTTATTTTAAGACTCAAAATATGATATTTTAAACTTTCCTCAAGAGAAGATATTATCCCTAAAGTATATGATGATCTTAGCCATACAAGAACCCTTTAATGTACTGTTTCTTCCTTTGGTACAAACCTTTAATGTACTAGAGTACTATTTTACAGAAAGGAGTCTGACCTAATTGTTTTAATTATATCATATGCTCTCATCCCAAAGGAATTGGGAGGGGGGGAATTGTTTATGTTATGGTTACATATTCCATGTATATAGAGTATTTAGAGGTTTTCTAAGCCCCTAATTTTGTTGTTCTCAGAGTTTGTAGAGTGTAAGTGACAAAAAAATTTAGCAATCTCTTTTAGAGAACATTTATCAAGCTCTCAAGCCATATAATTTTCAATTTATACATTTCTTTTCAGAAATAATCTAATCAAGAAATTTTATTTTTATAAGTAAATTTTACTTACTATTTTTTTAATACTATATATATTAGTAAATTTCTTGACTAGGCTCGGTCTCTTATTATATACTATTTCTCTAATGAATAGTATTACTTGTCTGGTCACTTTTGTCTCATATATTAGTACTCCTTGACATGAAATGTAGTTATTGGATTAAGTTAGAGAGTCGAGATCAACCCATTCACTAATAAGTCAACTAAATCATAAATGAAATATTACAATCAAATTAATAGATCATAGCGACATCAGGTGAGACAAAAGTGATGTAACAATTAGTACTTTCCTTCCTGATTAGAATTAAGAAATTCTATTTTAAAATGTAAATCTTTCAATTCATTTTAGATTCCAAAAATGAAATTAAAATTACCATAATCATTCATAAAAGGATTCAAAAGAAGGTCATGTGTTATATCTTTACTTCTCTACCAATTAATGCTCAAAATGGTTATAGTTGATTTTTCTTTTTTTTGAATTTGGAGGAAAAGGAGATTCAAATTTTATTCTTTTAAGGAAAAGATTATACACATGTTTGGATATAACTGAGTTAAATGCTCGGGTACGGCTATAACCGAGTTTGTTAATAAAGTTTTACATTTTTTTCCTTTTAATAATTATTGCAAATCACAAATTTATATTACATAGGATTTTTTTTCATACACTATTTTTTATACACCGTGATAGAGTTTATAAACTTCAGCAATGGATTGGATAATTTTCATGTTTATGTATATTTAAAAAAACTACATACTCATAATTAAGACATAGAAAACCTATATATTTTACGTAAAAAAAAAGTTTAGAGCTCAATTCTTCGTCCCTCGACATAATTAGCTAATTCTAAAACCTTAATCTTGATTGGTTAATTAAAACATGACATTTGATATGCTATTTTTGAAACAAATAAATAAAAGCAATAGATGTTTATAATTGGTGAAATGTGTCACTCCTAATAAATACCAATTCACATCTCCACGTCATATACAGGTACAACGTTCCATTCCTTTAATCATATCTAGTTCCATTTCATACAATCGCTAATTATTTAACATCAATTCAAAGAAAAGAGATAAAATTCAATTAAAAATATACTAAGTAAATTATACATAATATCATATGTAGCAGTAGTAGTATAATAGTGTTGTAATGATGTCAATCATCATATTGTCATCATAATCACTTGATGAAATAGCACATATACGATCATAAAGAACTTTGTAACCTTATACAAAGCAATAATTGTGACCATATAATCTTTAATCTTATCTACTAATTAATGGCCAAAAGGAACATTAGAGAGAGACTATACGTGTTGTGGGTTTGCACAAATACTCATGGAGAGAATGTGACAGACTATGATTCATCATCTCCCCTAATAAATACAAAGTCCATTAAAACTGGTAAAGTTGCCACATCAGACTATCCACTCCTTATATATATATATATAGGGGGAGTAGAGATATATTGTGAATTGAACCAAAGAAACATAGCCAACTAACACACATAGACAAGTTTAGCTATATTCTTCACTACTCTCCTCCAACTATACTACTACTTCATCACTACCGTTTCTCTAGTCGTCTCTCCTAAGTCTCCTTTCTTTTCCTTTCTTTCAAACATGGCACTGAAAGTAGCTGCTGTGAATTCATCGAGGGCTGTGGCTGCGGTGGCGGCACAAGATGGGGAGGGGGATTTAATGGTGGTGAGAGAGTATGATGAAGAGAAAGACAAGGTGGCTGTGGAGGAGATGGAGAGACGTTGTGAAATTGGGGAAGGAGGAAAGCCTTCGCTTGTGGCTGACCTTTTAGGTGACCCCTTATGTAGAGTCCGCCACTTCCCATCTCACATCATGCTGGTAACTAAATCATCCTTAGTAACTGACCATCACCATTATTTTTTATTGCGTTGTTTTTAACCTTATGGATCATGAAAATTCATTAGAGTGGACCTATTGAGAGATGTTGCATGTTTGAAGGAAGACATATGGCAGTATTAACTATTAATTACCTACCGACATGATTACATGATTTTTGTTCTTATTATATGGCGTGAACAGGTAGCAGAATGTGGAGAAAAAAGAGAGATTGTAGGAGTTATAAGAGGCTGTGTAAAAACTGTGACAAGAGGGAATTCAGTTTATGTAAAGTTAGCTTATATTCTGGGATTAAGGGTCTCTCCTTCATACAGGTTTGCTTCATTTCTTTTCTTAATCTCCTGTCATCCATCTGCTTCTTCTCTGTTTCTATCAGCATATAACTATCCAAACTCTACCGTTACTGCAATTAGCCAATAAAATTGTAAAGATAAACGTGATATTCACAAGTTACAGTCTCTCCCCTTTTTCTTTATCGTAAAGTTATCAGTATAACTAATATGGTCGGGTCATGGATTAAAAAAGAGGAAATTAAAAAAAAAACCCTTAGTCACCTGACAAGAGACAGAGGAGAAACTGTTTTCCCTTTTGCTTTTCTACTCCATTTGCTCCTGGAATTCTGAAACTGTTTTTCCTGCTTTTCTACCCCTCATTTGGCTCTTTTCCACTACCAAGCTCTCTCTCTCTCTCTCTTTTCTATCAGAATTCTTGCATTTTCATTTGTGCTTTGTGATGGGGAGGGTTCTAATTTCTAATCCCCATTCCCACTCCACAAAAAAGTTAGAAAATGATGATCAGATTCCACCATAAAGGAAAAAGACGATGTTCCTCGTATCATGGAAAGGAGGGAAATGCCAGCTAACCTTGCACTGACACTTGTTTTGAATCCACTAGATTAATACTTTATTAATTCACAGGCCCAAAAAAAAAATAAAAGACTGAAGACATAATATCTCATTCTATTCTTTGTTCGTACTTGCTTTTTACTTCTATTGCCTCCTCCCTTTGCAATGGTCCACTCAAATTTCTTCTGCGTCCTTTTGATACATACCTTCCTTGCGTCATTCTGCTGTTTTAAAAATCTCTTTTGCTTTTAAAAAACAATGTTACAAGAAGAATAAAAATTACCCACCAGCAGCAGAGCAGCGCTGCAAGCCAATTCTTTATCCCAATATGCTAATTATTGTTTGAGCTTTCAGTTTATTATATGATTATTAAGTTTAAGAGTGGTGCCATGAGGCCTCCCCTGGATGTGACAGCAGTCTCAATTTTCTTTTTCTTTTTTTGGTTTTTCATTTTTATATTGGTTAATGCTTCATATGATTATCTTTTCGAAGGTCGCTTTCTGATTCAATACCATATTAAAGCCTCCACATTTTCGTCACCAGGCTTGATTAATCTAATTAAATTACCTCGAGCCCATAACACAATAATTTATAAATAAGAAAACATGTATACATGGTATGGATGATTAATATATATGTAACCAACTATTATACGCAGGGTTCAATCTCATGAAGCATTTGTTAATAATTTTTTGCAAATTGTGATGCAGGAGGCTGGGCATTGGCCAAAAACTGGTTCAGAAATTAGAAGAATGGTGCAAGCAGAATGGAGCAGAGTATGTATACATGGCCACAGACTGCAGCAATGAACCATCCATCAATTTGTTCACAAGAAAATGTGCATACATCAAATTCAGGACCCCGACGATGCTGGTGCAGCCAGTTCATGCTCATTACAAGCCATTGGGCTCAGGCATCGCCATCGTTCGACTCAATCCGAGGCTAGCTGAGTCGATTTACCGTCGGGTTTTTGCCAACTCAGAGTTCTTCCCTAAAGACATAGACAACATTTTATGCAACAGGCCAAGTTTGGGTACGTTCATGGCCTTACCAAGAAAGTGCCTCCCGCAATGGGATCCCAAAACAGGGATTCTCCCACCAAGTTTTGCAATTACGAGTATCTGGAGCACCAGGCAGTTGTTCAGGTTGCAGGTGAAAGGAGCTTCGATGTTGACGTACGCATGTTGCATGGCTTCCAGGGTGGTGGACGCCTGGATGCCATGGCTGATGTTGCCCTCCATTCCTGACGTCTTCAGGAAATTTTGGGTCTATTTCTTGTACGGACTGCACATGGAAGGTAAAAATGCGTCGCGGCTCATGAAGTCGCTGTGTGCCTTCGCCCATAACATGGGTCGAGATGATAATGGATGTGGGGCAGTGCTGGCTGAGGTGGGCCAGAGGGACCCTGTCCGAGAGGTGATCCCACATTGGAGGAAATTTTCCTTGTCTGAGGATTTGTGGTGCATCAAAAATCTGGGCGACTCAAATGATGGGTCCAATGACAGAAGTGGGTCGTCCGATTGGATGAAATCACGACCTTCTTCTCCTTTGCTTTTTGTTGACCCACGTGATATTTGACAATTTGTTCTTTTCACTGTTGATTATCATCTCGAAATCCAACTTCGTACGTGAGAAGGAAACAAACACAAATCTTAGTTTCACTGTAAGCTACATTTGCCAAGGACCCCAACAATAAAACATATAAAAGTTAAAGGATAAAATATTGCAAGGTCTGTATATATATATATAATTAAACCCAAAAGTTCATTAAAAGATTATATGCAGGCATTTGTCAAGGCTGTGAGAAAAATATGCACTCAAGAATTTCGTTTATTAACTAGTATATAATTTTTTATTTAAATAATAAAATTTAAAATTTTCTTCTTTAATTACTAAAAAATTTTATACTTAAATATTTAATTTATTGATTAATACATAAATTTTTATTTAAAAAATAAAATTCAAATTTTTTTTCTAATTAAAAAAAAAACATTTGTCACGTTTTGAGTTCCAAGAACAATGCAGTCCCTGCCAAACACTTGGCCAATCTGGAAGATAATCCAAGCTTGAGAACTGGGATTATGGGACCATCATTGCATTAACAATGGACCCAAGTATGGCAATTGGCAAACACATTTCCAAGGCACAAGTACTCAAATTGCAGCATTTTTTGAGTTAACAATTGAAGACAAAATGAATATTTGATAACACTGGATTAGATTGGGACAGCAACTTTACTACTCCTTTCCATGAAATTATATAATAGGACAAGCATTACAAGGCCTGTTTGGAGGGTCAAGGTTCAATTACTCCTCTGGCAATCAAAATTTGAAACGGACTGAGAATGAACTTCCGTAGAGGGCCCTCACCCCACCTTGGCTTCTGAAAGTTAATGATTCCGCGTGAAGAGAAAAGGGAAAATCTCATTTCGGTCCCCGTAAATTTTATAATTTGGCCCCATCATATAGTAAGTTTTGAGAGTTGCTACCCTTTGTTTTAGGTTTATATTCGTCGATAGACCCATTTTAAATGCAATTATTATTAGTTATATTACACTAAACTTTTGGTTTCTTATATGTTTTCTTTCCAATTAAAGCATTTTGACACTACTTACTATGTCAAGCAATTTTAAACTTATTTAATTCAAAATAAAAATATAATCACTTGATTGAATGTAATAAAAAATAAAGACTTATTTAAATTTTTTAAAATAATTTAGGTATTTTTTAGGTATTATGCCTTTTTTAGAAAATAAATTTAGTACTCCATTCTTTACAACTTTTTTTTTGCATAATATTTTGAAAAGTATCTAAATTATTTTAAAAAATTCAAATAAACTATTATTCTTTTATTGTATTCAATCAAGTGTCTTAGTGTTGGCATTGACAAGTTGAGTACTTGACAAAGTCTCTTGAATGTTCACAAAGTTCACATCATCATCTTTATGTTCATCTAATCCCTTGAATGCATCTGAAGTTGTCATTGTTGTTGCTTCCTTGGATTCTGTGTTCTCCACGGCATCAGCTAGTGCATTTGCTCTTTCTCCAGTTGCCCTATCTCTCCCAACTATAGTGGCTAACTAATCAAAATGAGAAAAAGGCTTATTTCTAAGTCCTACAGTAGCTAGATGACTGCAATTCAATATTAAACAAACATTAATGAAAATAAGTAAATAATCGTATGGATTGATATCAATAATAAGCACATATCAGTGATATAAATAATAAGGAAATATTTGATGACATTCATGTTCACTTACCTTTACCTATCCATTCCAAACGCCAGTTTCACAAGTTGACACATTTGTTGAAGTCATCCCACCCAAAGCCAAAAGTAGAATGGCCTAGCATTTCAGCAACTTCCTGATATTGTAACTGTAATAACCGCATTCTGGATTGTAAATGTGGGATGCCTCTAATTTGACAGTTTGTGATCTTTTTAGCCATTGCAATTAACCAGGCTTAAAAGTCCTATTATCTCTAGACCAACCACCAACATTCACAAGATCCAAGTAACGATTAATTAGAATGCATATTCAAGAAGAGTCCATTGATGGGTGGATCTCTTACTTGCTTGTTTTGATCCTTGAGTTGATGTTCCTTCCATCTACAATAACAAAATGTTAACAAATGACCTTTATACATGAGAGGTAAAGTGTATGCAAAAATAACTTCACACCCCTTAATACAACAAATGCAAGAACCCAAAAAAACCCATCCACACACAAACTATGCAAAATATACCTTCTATACAATCATTGCCTCATAACATAATCAAGGTTAACAACCCTACAACCCCAAAAACCTAACATCTAATTTTTACAATTAAAAAAAATATATTGTTACATTACATTTCATTTCTAGAAGCTAACCAATCATCTCACATTTCTTGTGACAAGTTATTTTGTAATTATTCCATTCATTTGAGCTTTCAATGTATTGTATCATATCTGCATTTTTCAATTCTGCTGATCCCACGTATCCGTTATTGAATTCAACCTCAAGTGCATCGTGTGTCATCTTTCGCCTATTATGATTATGTAACAAAGCACAAGCCAATATAATTCTGCATTTGGTTTTCACTAGATACTAAGACCTCTCTTTAAGTATTACCCATCTCATCTTAAGAAATTCGAAACATCTGTATATAACATTTCTAACACTGGAGTGTTTGTAACTAAACAATTCTTCTTTTAATCAAGGAGTTCAATTTTGCCTCCATTCATTCAAATGATATTGTTGACCTCTGTATGGAGTTAAAAATCCCTCTCCATTTGTATATCTAGCATCATATAAATAGTAAAAACCTATGACAAGAAAATATTTTTGTATTAGGAACTAAATATATCAAGCTAACACTAAAACCTTATAATTATTAATTTAACACATGCTATCTTTTTACCTTTAGAGACTTTCAAACCATTTCTTCTAGAGATTGCATCTCAAAGAACCCTAGAGTTTGCAGTAGAACCTTCACATTTATGTAAGATATATATGAACTGCATATCTTGTAAACATACTCCTAAGATATTGGTAGCAATCTCATTCTTCCTTGTTCTATATCTAGGGTTATCATTTTCCAAGGCATTGACTTTAATATATGTCCCATCTAAAGCAACTTAACAATTCTATTGTTTCCAATAGAATGGTGACACAAACATATATCTTATTAGATTCAAACTAATAAAATTTTATATTTAAATTATAGAGAGAAACTAATTTAACTTAACTTTAAACCAATTCTATCATAGGTCAGTTGAATTCTCAGTTATAAGCTCTGGATTCTTCAATAACATTACTTGTAACCTCAACACAAAATTTAAAACCACCATAAATTGCCTACTCACTGTCTCACAACTTCTAACAAACTCTTTCTGTATTATCTTATTCTTTGCATGATGAGCAATGATGTATAAAACGACTGCAACCATTTCCTCAACATTCATGGATGTTGTTGGTTTAAGCCTACCATTGGTTTCAAGAACATTACATAGCTTATAAAAGGCATTCTTATCCATTTGAATATGTTCAATGCACACCATATCAAAATTAAAGATTATTCTTCTGAAGTTCAATTACCTACTTGTATGTCTTTCATAACTAGCACCATTATATGACTTATTATGCTTTTTTCCTTTAGGTGCACAAAACAATATTGATTAAGCAAAACAGTAATCACCATTACTATTGTATATAGCTGTAACGCCAATGCAATAGTAGATGCAATCACTGTAATTAGCCATTTAGAATATCTGCTCATTGTGTGAACTATAATATAGAAAGTAACATAATTAAAGTGTAATCCAACAACTAGTAATCAAACTGCATAACACATTGTATATGTAAAAATAGTAAGACAATCCACTTTAAACATGATGCTATTTTGGAATTAACACAATAAAGAATGCAACAAGAAGTACAAGTATATACCATAAACAATGTGTAATTAACAACAACTAACTGAAACACATTGTGTATAGCATTTAATCCATATTTGTAAAGACAAGAGAAAAAAAGTGCATGAATTCAACTTTAATACATTTTTTTTGGTTCAGACACTATATAAAGTCCGTTGCTACTAATATTATTATTAACACTATAAAAACACTATATATAAACAATGCTAATGAAACACTATAGTTGATATATAAACAATATATGAAACATTATATAAACACTACTACTAGTATTATTATCAACATAAAATCCTTTTGCCAACTTCATAAACCATCAAGAAAAAAAAAACTTAGACCAACCATTTTACATAAGTCACAAAACTATTATCCAACCAAAACTATTATTCTAAACGCAACAGGAAAGTGACAATTCTGCCTCTTGCCTTGTTTGTTTCTTATCCTTCTTTCCTAAACTTGCATCCTTTTCTACTTTATCTATCTCCCAATGCTAGTATTTTATAATAACTATTTTTTTAAAGGCAAAAGAGAGATTCATTAATAGAAAAAAGGGGAATGAAAGTTCTTTAAACAAGAGAAACAATATCCTTTAGTACACAACCTAGGAAAATGAGAAGAAATGCCCCTCTTTATGGAAGAAACCTCCATTTTCCTTGAGCTCAAAAAAAAAAAAAAACCCCAT